GCTGAACAACTGCAGTGGGTTTATTTTTACCTCGGTTTCCAGCGCCGTGATGTCATCTCGGATTTGCTGAGCCTCACTCAGGAAATTTTCTATGATTGGTTCCTCCTCGAACACCACAGCTTGTGGCGTGATGACCCCGGCTGCCACATCATCATCATCACCGCCCTCCGCTGAGAAGGGATTCGTGTTCTCAGTTCCACTCTCAGAAAACTCCTCGGCCCAGTACTGCAGCTCCTCCAGTCGGTCTCTCATCGTGGAACGGTCCACTCCTCGGGATTCACAGAGTATCCACAGACCTCGCCAGCACCGACAAGAGAACGCTGAAAATAAAACAGGAAAATTTTACAAATCCGTTTGGCACATTATTGAAATGGACGCTAAAATGGATTGCCCTCATCTTTCAGTCAGTGCAAAACCAACACAAGCACAAAAAGGTTTAATAGTATTTACAAATAAAATCTATTGATGCATTCAGTACCAACATTTTGACATTTTGCAGGATTCTTTTTAGCATGTCTAAATAGATCTATATCGAGCTAGAAGTAAATAAATTACATTTCTAGAGGACATGACTGATTGTGCTGATCTTCATATGACTGTCAATAATTCCTTAAAATAATACCCATAGGTCAGGCTGTGTGTCCTCAGGGTGAATCAATGTTTATTTGTTTAATCATTCAAACGTCATCCGTCTTGATATGAGGATAACTAATGATCTGGATTCTCAGTATTTTTAGCTGCATATATAAAACAACAACACTAGAAAAACAAGCAGGACGTTTATCCGGGGCATCGGTTAACCCGATTGAGCCGACTGGAGTTCAGAGCTGAGTTGTATTCAACAACACACTCGACAAAAACAAGAGATGAAGGTTGTCGCTCGGCGGTCACGTCTCATGACGAGTCCAGAAAAAGTGACCTTGATGAGCACGTTGACGAAGAAGACTTAGAACAAGCGCGATTTGTTAAATCTGGTTGTGTGAAAAAGAGCAAAACTACAACATTACTGCTACAAGTTCTGAACTCCAGCCAACTCCTACCAACGCTGACACACACATGAGTGAGGCGCTGGTGATCGAAACCGTGACACACGCCATCTGATTTCCTGCCTTTGACGCATGAAAACTCTGTGCATTGAAATGGGCGTACTGAAAACCAGCCTGAGCAACGCAGGGATTTGGGCTTTAGAGGCCGTAACATAATCTTTTGCGAGCACATGATTGTGTGTCGGGGGGGGAACAGAGTGTTTGGCTGCTGAGAAATGGAGCATTTCAAATCACAGACTATCCCATTGCTGGATAGATTTCAAACAGGAAAGATCCTATCTCCCCTGCATGTATGTGTGTGTGTGAGCTGGAAGTATTGCAAACTTGTCAAAGAATGTAAAAATATCTTCTCTGGCCTGAACTCTCTCCCTCCCCCTCCATCTCTCTCTCTCTCCTTTTCCTCTCTTTCTCTCCCTACCTGCCCGACACAGAAGAGCCGATTAAAAAAATTGCTCAAAGGATTTGGGAGCACATTCTCCCGTGTTTAGCCTAAAAACCTGGAAGAAAGTGGAGCATGGTTCAAGGAGTCCAGCCTCTCGCCGAGATAGAACGCATTGTTCCCCGAAACAAGTAAATATTTTCTTCCTGCCATCCGTCTGCTGCTTTGGCTGAAGGGAACTTTGTGTTGACGTTTTTGGATTTCCATGCAGGTGGACAAGGACGAGGGCCTGAACGCTGTATTCTCAGACAGTTGTTAGGTGCAGTCTTATAATTACACAAAAGAAAAGAAATATCGAGTTTAAAGTCATCCTAGTTTCTTCTTCTTAAAAAACAAGCTGGACTTTTAGTTTAAAAAAAATAGATGACATACAATTAAAACTACTTTATTTCTACATAGGTGCTGTACACTTTCAAATCTCACTTTTACACACATTTCCAATCAAACATTTAGTCTGAAGCTTTACCTTAATAGCAGTTAGAGCTCCATCTGAGGCTGTCTGCTCCCATTCACACCAGGACTGTAGCTCCACACATTCTTTCCCATCATCAGTTCAGATCTCCTCACATCCACCTGATTCTCATCATCTGTGGGATGTAAAAAAACCTCCAGCAACAGTTTTGCCACCAACTGTTTATGAGGACAGTTCCACTCACAGGCAGGGAAAGTTTTGAGGAAGTCTGGTCGAGTCACTTTCAGTCTCCTCCCCTTCTTCAGAGCTCAGGTCCAATAGGAATGCAGCTGAGTGGAAGCCTATTTGCTTATAAAAAGAAGTGAGCGGTGACGTGATTAAGTCAATGAGGAGGGAGAGACGGTGTGCTCATAAACCTTACCCTCAGGCTCTTTTCTGGAGAGAGAGAAAAAAAAATAGAGTAAATACGAGTGCATTGTGTGCACCGCTCAGGCCAAACAATGGGCTCTGCGGTTAGGGTGTCAACCAGGGCGTCGGGTTTCTGATCCGCAAAGTTAATTTCTATGTGAAGTGTCTGGGTTCCCGGGGTAAGCCCTCATGGTCTGTGAGTATTAGGCCCCAGTAACTCCGCTGAGCACTTTTGACAGATTTCTACTGACAAGCTCACTAAAACCCAGGAGCCCTTTCAACACGGGAAGGGACGCAGCCGCTCTCTGCTATGCAGCACAACACGCTGTGCGGAGCTGTTTGAAGTGCGGCGTCACAGAAGGAGAGAGAGAGGGGAGGCAAGTTTGGAGGATGAGAGGAGTTTGCCGGGGACAAGAGTTCACTTTTTGTCAGTTGAAACTTTGGAGGCTTGGTTGCAGAATCACTGTCATTTTTTTTAGTTTTTTATTGTATGAATCTCGCGGCCGTGTCGCTGGAGCGGTGATCGGAGAGGCCTCGGAGGGTGTACTTAAGGTAAAGTGTCAAATATTTAATGACTTTTGAGCACACACCTGAGGCTTATGTTAATTCTCAGTCACTCTCCGCAGCAGTGTGTTTTTGAGTTCACCCGAGGATGGTGAACAACACTCCACGGCCCCGCGACTCTTTTCTTTCCAACCTAAATGAAGACTGTTTAATCCAGTTAATCCTTTAACTAAAGATTGAAAATCAGTGAAACGGGCCCAGCGATGACAATCGTGGTGTCGCCAGCAACAAATAAGTTCGACTGGGTGACGGCGCATCGCTTCAATTAGAAAATAAATAAAGTTGTGTCTCTTGTTGTTGTAGCAGATGCTTCTCCATGTCGGTCATAATGCTGTGTGAAGCTTGTGTCATGGCAAAACATTACAACAAAGTCAAACCGGTTTTCTGAGAACTTGTCAGCATCACAGGAAACAAGCTGACTGCACCGCGTGTGAACCCGTTTCCTTGATTCTTATCTCTGATTAAGGAGGCAGGGTTGATTGGGATTTGCTATCCTCCTCCCTCTCAACCTTCTGCAAACCTTTGGGTGAAGCCGATCTTATCTCCACGTATCTTATTATCGCTACTCCATGTAAAATTTGATACGACCAAAACACTGGATACCCGCTAAGTGAGACAAGTGTTTGTTTGTCAAGGTCGCACGGAGCTGCGTTCGTCCTCCGATCGGATGTATGCGTTGTTAGCATCTCGTAGAAGGACGCAGCGTTTGTGGACTACTTGACCCCAAAGTGTTGCACAAGAGGCTCGTCTCAGGGAACAAATGTCTCCAATGCAAACAAAAAAACAAAAAACAAGCCGTGTCAAGGATACAGGGATGATCAAAAGCTGCATTCACTCGTGCTTTTATATTAACAATGAAGCTGTAATGTGTAAGTGGGCAATTGTAGATGAATTAGCAGCGACAACAACAACAAACATTCTCTGACAAAGAGCAGAATAGCAGCTAAAGAGCTATTTGTTGTTTTTATGTGTTGGTGGATTCCAAACAAGTGTTGGACTTAATGTTAGTACTGCTCCCCCCTATGTACTGCATATGTAAACACACTTGTTTACTAATGCAGCTGCTGCATCTTGACACCAATATAAGGTTGTATTATGTCTAAATTTTCAGTGACGATCTCCTTTTTTCCCCCCCGTGCTCTCAAAAAAGATTAGTTACAGGAAGCTGATGAAACAAAAGGCAACAGAAGTGAGTACAGCCCTTTCAAACATCCCCTAAACTACATCACCTCCCAATGATTGCATCGCTTCCAAGTTGACGAGCGGGGCACGTCTTCTGAAGCAAATCCTGTAGAGAGTCTATATTGAAAATACAGGCACACAAGTAGTAATTGAGTGCAACAACAGTGAATATATCTGTACAGCTTACACAATCCAGCTCTGAAAAACAGGTGAGCAAAGGCTTCGGGCTTGACACAGGAGTTAAAAAAAAAATGGAAATCTGAGATTCTGCGAGAGCTCCGGCAGTGAGAAGGACAGAGCATCGTGTCAACCTCCAGCTCCAGCATCTGAGGAAATACTTTGCTTGCTCTTTAGACTAAAACTGCAAGATTGAATTTCAGTAAATAACTTTAAAAGAAGCCTGGAGAATACTGGGGGCTTTGGTCAGATGAGACGAGGGTACGAGGTGTGTCAGAAAAGTTCCAGGACTGATGTCACATAAGATAGATTTTAAACTACAAACTAGGAATTTTCTCCTTCAGACGACCAACCATCACGTCTACAAAGAGATCCTGTTTGCGAGAAGAGGCGAGAGTTGTGGCAGGACGAGTCGTGGCTGCTTCACTGAGCATCCAACAGCTCCTGGCTGAGAAGAACATCTCCGTGCTGGAGCAACCTCCCTACTCACCCCACCTGGCTCCGTGGGGTTGGTTCCTCTTTTCCAAGCTCAAGGGGGTCATCAAGGGGACCCATTTAGAAGACGTGGACGACATCAAGATGGCTGTGACGACGGAGCTGCAGAGGATCCCAGTAGAATTCTAGGAGTGGCAGAGAAGGCTGGGGAAGTGCATTAGGGATTACTTGTAAGGGGAAAACTTGTATCATGTAGTTTGGATTTTAAATATATCTTTCGTGACACCACTCCTGGAACTTTTCCGACACACCTCGTACATTTGTTTGGCTCAAATGGGGTCCAGCATGTTTTAATTTGACCAGAACCACCACGACGAACGCATCGGCCTGACAGTGAAGCACAGATGTGGGAAAGTGATGATGTGGGATTTGATGAGAGCAAAAGGTGTTGATGCAGCTGACAGGATGACTTTTAGTGTCCAGAAGCTTAGAAAGAGAGAGAATAAAATATTCCAGCACAATAAGGATCTCAAGCACAGTGACCAGAATCTAAAAGGATTTCTAAAGAAGAAAAAAGTTAAACTATGACCTGGAAAAGTTTGTTGCGTGATTTGAGTCGTTTAAGAGAAAGGTGGAGGAACACAACCCTTCCAGTAAAGAACCACTGTACAAATGCAAAACATCTCCAGAAACTTTCAAATGTACTTTTGAATACAGTACATTTAAATTGTTCACTTTTAATTTCACATAAGTGTCCGACTGTTCAGCTTAGAAGAAATGAAATTCTTTGAGACATACACTTCTAAATAACTTGACATTTAAGTGACATTGCATAGGAGTGTACTCGTTTCTGCATTTTGAAAGCATTTAGTGTATAGAATAGTACAATTTCTGCACAAATCCGTCGCCAAACAGAGCAGAAGCAAAAAGTATGGCGAGCTCAATGTGAATTACCGGCTGTGGGGTGGGATAAAAGAGAGCAGAGCACAAAGAACAGACAGTACTTCAACATAAGCAGGCAGAAGTTTAAGAAAGTAAGTCTGAAAGAAGCGCTCTGAAAAGCATTAAATGCAATATCGCCTTGGTGCTTTATTTCAAACACACTCGATATGAAAGAGCGTGTCAGGTTGTCTTGGTCACTGTATCAAGTGGAGTTTGTCTCACAATATAGCTGTTGGAGAGCTCTCTGGGTATTTCTGTAATTGAAGGGATGTCAGAAGCAGTGCTTTGATATTCTTCACTGTAGGGTCCAGAGAGAGAAGGAAGAGAGGGAGAGACGGAGGGAGGGAGGCAAGACAACAACTCCCAAACAGCCTCTCAGACGCAACCTTGAGAGTGATATTTAAACACTGCCAGAGAAAATATGCAGTGCTTTCTCTCTGAGGGCAGCATAAAGGGAGGATTAGATGAAACTGATATGGCACTGGAAGTGAATACCAAACCTGATCTAGAGATACTGTTAACTTACTGCTAACTTAGCGGTTTGCTCAGGGTGTGGGGAAGCTGACCGCTGATATGTGACGCAATCAAGATTTAAGGCCAAAAAAAAGAAAAAGTTGTGGATCTTATTGTGTCTGAACACACGAGTTATATCACCATAAACACGTCCTCTAGACTGATGAGACGAGGCTGCTCTCCTGATGCTTACCACTCAGATTATTTCCCCAAATGCACGACTATCAGCACATCTTTATAAACACGAACCCCACAGACGAATAATCCACAGACGAACCTCCTGCACCTCATATGAGGATGACATGGCAGGGCAATATCCGTCTCAAAGAAAGAAAAAAAAAGGAGTGCTACCAGCCTGATATATGGGTCATACAGCAGGAGAAAGCAGGAAGGAGAGCGGGGAGATAAATGAGAGAGGGGAGAGAGACGGTCAGAGGGGCAAGGATAATGAGGTCAAAACCATTGTCATTAAGCCAATCGGAAAGATTGATACTGGGGTCGGTGGCTTTGCCTACTAAAATGAGGCAATCAGTGATCTGGTTATTAAATGTTCCCTTTGGGAACTGTATTATATTGTGTCCTGGTCATTTATATTTTAATTTACAGCTGAGCAGCATCGACTTTAATTGCTTATCCTGCCAAAACTCCATTTGTTACACAAGCCCAACTAGTTTCAGGACGTTTTTTTTTTTTTTCACACAGTCTCACAGGGTCAGCTAGAAACAGGAAGATATAAAGACAGGAGCAGCTTCATTCTGGCTTCAGCTGAATCCATTCAAACAGGTAATTTTTAAGTTTGCTCGTGACACAAAGTCTAGTTCTGGGGAGATAATGGCAGTAAAACCAAGTGTAAATTGGATTGACACCAGAGAAATCTTGTGTAAATGTGTGTGAAGATAACCTGTAGGTTCCTCAAGTGAAAT